TTTGAACTACGGTTCGAAAGTGTATATAATTTCATTCTAAAGTTTATTGCTTCCTCTAAAAAATTGAGCTTGCGCCGCCCATGCGCACATTATACAAATCGATGATAGTTTCTCGGTAGTTATCGCATGGATTGTCTTTGTATCTGCTCCCAAAACCACTGGCAACCGCCCAAAAATTTAAAAGTAATTGCCCATGTTTTTTTTAACATGGCACCAATTGTCCAATGCCGAAAAATCTTGATACACATACATGTACAAAGACGCAAGTGGTATCATTTTAATATATTGTACTTTTTTGTGATCTAATCAAATGATCCAGAAAGATCAACTGACTATTTTCTCCATTCAATTGATGTTTACAATGATGACAATTCAATGATTTTTTTTTTGTCAAAATACTCGTTATTCCACTCAAATTTGCTGGCGATTCCATTTGTACTTATTTATACTTTTTGACATAATATATTCGAAAATTTGAACGTTGAAGAGTATGTTTGTGAAACGGTATAGAAAAAGTGAATGAGCTTGCCTCTTAGCATGAGAGTAATAAATTTCTCTTCAATAAACATTGGTATTTTGTGATGGCAATTAGTTTTTTAAAAACTGTAGCTCAATTTATTTTTAATTTCTCATTGCTACCGAATCCTCAAAATAATTTAGCTGGGAAACGGCCCATGACTTAAAAATCTCTGGCTATGCTACTACCCATAAGAGTCCGAATTTTATTATAGTGTCGATTGAATTCGTTATCCATTTTTCAAAAACTTTTTGTGTTGTCGTAATTGGATTTTGTCCGAAAAAATATTAGAACTAAACTCACAATAAAGTTATTATATATATATATATGGTTATAGACAAAAACTATATTATCAAAACATGTTGAATTTTTTTATTTGTATCGATTTGCTGCCATTACTATTCTTATTTCAATAAGTCATCTCAAAGTTATCTATTAACTATTAAAACAACATTTATGTTCGATCTATGTTTAAAAATGTCTATCTTTCCTTTATTAAGTGGCTATTGTATGGCTTACGAAAGAAGAAAGTACGAGAAGAATGTGACCTTTTTTGGTAAAAGAAATCTGTCTTTCGAACGAAGCAGTTCAACATAAACATATCGGTTCATTCTTTAATCAAGGATTACTCGATGTTGTTCGGACGTTTTTTTTTCATCTTTTGACATTCTCATCTTTTCCTTGTCGATTGTCGAATAATAAAACACCTCGAGAATGAAAATATTGGAAATATGCAATTGCTAAATCATAATCAACGACCCTGTGAAAGTAAGTAAACGTTGAATATTATCATGTCACGTTTAGTTAATATTTGATAACACAAAGAAAAAAAAAGAAAGAAAAAGATTATTAAAGAAATAAAAAAAAAAGGATTGATCCTAATCATTTATTAATCTTTTTTTTTGTTCTACGTTAGAAATGATCATGATTCTTAAGGATTTCTATTTTTTTAATGGTAAGAAAAGAAATCTATGATTTAATGGCATTAGTCTATCGCTTATAGATTATTATTATTAGAAAGCTTCCTCTCTGTTTTTAGCTTTTAGTTTTGGCTTTGCCATCATTATTCTTGTTAGTTTTCTTTTTGAAAACACATTTGCTGAATATGATTGTTCAGCAAAAGAAGATGGTTGGTATTATGATCCCGAATTTTGCCATATCTATTGGCGATGTATACATGGAACATCAGAAGAATTTGAATGTGCTAGTGGTACAGCATGGGATCATCATGAAAATCGTTGTAATTGGCTTGATAGTGTTGATTGTTCACGTGCCGAAAAAACAACAGCAAAATCCATGTCTGACTATGATGATGAACAAGAAATTGTAGACGAAGATAGTAATAATAATAATGAAGAAGATGATGAACAACCTATTGTTGTTGTTAAAAAAACAAAAAAGAAAAAGAAGAAACATCGAAAAATAGAATCAAATAAAAGAAAACTTGATGGTGATAATAATGAAGAAATTGATGGCAAAGATCGTGAGATTCTTTTTTCATCATCTTATGGAAAACGTAGTGCATGAATTTTTCTTTTTTATTTAAATTTCTATATTTATCTTTCTATGCATTGAAATTCTCTTCCAGTTTTTCTTCTAATTATTTCTCAAACAAGTTCGTCTAATGATTTTCTTTGTGCTGGACGTGATGGATTTTTTGCGTAAGATATTTTTCGTTATCTTCTTCAAGAGAGAGTAAAATAAATTGCATGATTTATTTTGTTTTTGTCAGTGATCCTGAATATTGCACGAGATATTATCGATGTTCGCATGGAATTGATGAAGTTTTTGAATGTCCAAGAGGTACTGCATGGGATGAAATAACGAAATCATGTGCATGGGTTGATCAAGTTAATTGTGATCAAAAGATATTAGGTTATTCAACAAGTACTCCTACTGAAGGCATGAAATTTTTCCAAAAACAAAACAAAAAAAGATTTTTTTATTTTAACAACAACAAAAAAACATTTTCTTTTTCTCTTTATATTTTAATAGATACAACAACATCATCACGTAAAAAATCTGATACTGAATCTGTTTTATCTGACTCCAACGTAGCATTAGCTGTATCATCAACAAATGGAAAAGATAATAGTGGAAGTTCATCAACTGCTGTTGAATGTCAACCAACTGGAATTTATTCAATACCTGATCCATCTGAATGTAATGCTTATTATCAATGTGAAAAAGGTACACGAACAAGATTAAATTGTCCTGAAAGAAAATTATTTGATATTGAAAAACGTGAATGTAATGAATATGAACGAGTTTTTTGTGGAACAAGAGCAGCTAATCTAGCTGATAAAAATCAATGTAAGTTTATTGAATAATTTTATGAAACATTTTTTGATATAATAAAAATATAAAATAGGTATCAATAAACGTGATGGTATTCATCCAGATACAGAACGTGATTGTCATTTTTATTATCAATGTGTATCACAAAATAAAATGCGTGAAGCTAAATGTCCAAGTGATCAAAAATTTAGTAGTTATACAGGAAGATGTGGTCCAGCAAGTAATGCTCCAATGCCATGTGGTTCATTTGTTCCTGGAAGTACTGCAATAAAAAGTATGCATTGTTGAATATTTCGTTGATTAAATTGATTTATTTTTGTTATCTATATAGATCATCAGAATATTGGAAGTTTCATTCAAATATTTTTGACGATGATTTTCTTCATTATAGTTTATTTCCAATGAATTAAATAACAAAACTTTTCTTTTTTTTTTTTTCTATTCTAAAAACGTTTTTTTTTCTACTATCATTTTATGTGTCTACTCTTGCGGTAGTTTGTGTTCAATAAAAAGAATACCTCTTCTACTATGTATGAAATCATAGTATTTTATTAAACTATTGAAAAGAAAATTATTTCATATAAAAGAATAATATTAAATTCATTTAATTTTTGATCAGTTCAAATCGTAAGAAACTTGAATAGATTCAATTCTCTATCTTACTGATTATTTACAAAAAAAAAAAAAGAAACTTGTGTGGTTACATCATTATAATTAGTCCTACATACCCGTTCGTTTGTTACGTTCTCGGCTAGTAAAGACAACGTAACGATGAACGAAAGAGAAAAAAGATCTAAAACCTCAAACAAACATAGAATAACATTGTTGCGATTATATTCGCATAGTTTATTGTTTGTATGTATGTACGAGTCCAATTAAACAATACATGTACATACATACACACATACACACATACCTTAATAAAGAAAAAGGTTATATGAGCAACAAAGCAAATGACACGTTAGAATTTAAAAGCATATATTATACTCGTCAATGAATATATGTAAGAAATGGATGAGCAATGGATAGAAAACTATCGTGGTGGTTTATTATTTATATAACAGGTAGAGTTGATTTTTTTTGTTTTGTATTTGTAGAATAAAGTTATTGTTGTCTTTCAGCAATTTTAAATTTTTTACCTAATTTGACTGAATCACATCTTCCATTAAATATAATAAGACAAACATATGAATCAACAAAATCAATTGATAATATCTCTCGATATCAATCAACTTTTCCTACATCTTTAAAAAATGTTACGACAACATTACATTCAACTATCATCTTTCAAACTCTTATAACAAAACCTAATTCTTATCTTTATAATCCTGATGAAGATGATGATAATGATGATAATGTATTAAATCGAATTAAACGAGATAAAATTCCATTTGTTTGTAAAGGTAAAAGTTTTTTTTTTATTATTTTAATTTATTTTATCACATATTCTATAGCGGATGGTTATTTTCCTGATCGAGAAAATTGTCGAATATATCATATATGTACATCAGGTGTTGATACAGCAGCTGTTTGTGGTGAAGGTACATCATGGGATCCAGTTAAGAAAAATTGTAATTGGGAAAATACCGTGCAATGTAAAAAAGGTCTTCGTAAATGGGATCAAATAACAGATATTCGAGGCGGTAAAAAAAAAACAGAAAATAAATCATTTTGAAATATTATTCAAAATCTTTTCTTTTTTCTTTTTTTTTTTGTGGAAAATTAGTGACTCTATTTGCTACTGATGCAGCTCTAGCATGGCGAGCAAAAAAGAAATCAACAACAACTAATCAACCAATTAAAGTTGATTCAAATTTTACATGTGAATATGATGCTGAAGGATTTTTTCCTGGTATTTTTTTTTTTTGTAGTTCAATTCAAATTTTAATAAATTTATTTTAGATCCAAAATATTGTCATATCTATCATTATTGTGGTATTGGTGCACATACAGTACTAAAATGTGCTGACAATCTTTGGTTTTCAACAGAATCACAAGGATGTGAATGGCCAGATAAATCAGATTGTATATATATATATAAATTTTCTTTTTCATTGAACTATATATATATATTTTTTTTTGAAATTTATATAGGTAAAGCTGGTCATTTATATACATCATCAACAGCAGCAACAAATATGATTGATGGTGATGGAAATGCTGTTACAACTCCTCGTCATTCTCGACCAACTAATGTCTATTTACCTATTGAATGTCCAAAAGGTCTTCAAGAATATTTTTCTGATCCATATGATTGTTCAGCATTTCATTATTGCAATGGTATGCTGTATAACAAAAAAAAAGAAGATTTTATTTTATTATTTTATAATTTAAATAGGTGGTATCGATAAACCTTCATATTGTGATGCTGGTCTTTTCTGGGATAAAAGTCAGTGTAAAATTCTATGTTATTGTTATATTGAATTTTTCTTTAGAACTTGGTTGTCAATGGCCAAAAGATGTGCCTCATTGTATGAGATTGAATTTTTAAGTTTACATGTAGCTTTAATTTTCTTTTTTTCCAAGGTCAACATAAATGTCCACCTAATGGACAACGATTACGCTTTGTATCTACACATAGTTGTTGTCATTATTATGAATGTATCAATGGTCATTTAAAAGAACAAGTTTGTCCATTACATAAACTTTACTCTGTTGAAACGAAAAGTTGTGAAAATTTTCAAGTTGTTCCTTGTGGTTCAAGAAAAAAATGTATCGATCCTTGTAAGATTTTTCTCCTTATTTTTCGCTACAGATATGCAGGATAAACTTTTTTTGTAGCCTAACTAAAAAATTTTTCTAATCCTTACTCTTACTGGAGCCAGTTGGCTTGGCCTCGAGTCTAAAAATTTTCGGCTAACTAATTCCGAAAATTTTGGATTGGACGAACTTTAGTGTTGTTCGAGAAATTGTGTACAGTGTACAAATCACCGAATACAAAACAATCGAAAAAATATATCTTATATTGTCGTAGCAACTATCGAATTCCGATTAGAAAGATTTCATTGAGATTATGAAACTACGACTCGACCGAGTTCGGATGTGAAAGTTTTGGATTCTATGGATTCTACTCTGTACATCTCTATTTTTCGCCCTATGAAATAAAATATCTTTTATTATTTATTGTATCTATTCAGGTGATTATGATAATTCTCCATTATGTGAATTTAAACCTGTTTGTCGAGATAAACCAAATGGTAATTATGTTGATCAATATCGACCAAATTGTCAATTTCATTATACATGTCTTGAAAGTCGAACATTTAATTATACAGCATGTGAACATGGTTATCGATTTTCTGTTCAACATCAAAAATGTTTACCTGCTAAACAAGTTAAATGTTTAGGAATTAATTACAATGATCCATTATTATTTAAAATTATTTTTTTTTGCCTGTTCCTTTTTAAATTCTATATTTGAACAGCATAATTATATATATTTATTTTTTTTTTCTTTCATTCACCGATGATGAACGGGTATAATTTATACAGGAATGTTTGACTAGGGTTGCTTTTTTTTAGAAGAAAAATAATTTTACACAAATACATATATATATATATATAGATATATAAACAATGCTAGAACAAAAATTTATTTTTTTTTTTTTTGTTTTCAAGATAATGTACCATTTAATGTAGCCGGTCTATGTCGATTGGTTCCATGATGTAGATGTAAAGAGGTTGATGATGTTGTACGTGAAAAATTTGATGCGGAATTTAATAATGCTGATGATGATGGTGGTAAAGGAAAAACGGGATTCGATGTTTCACCAATAAAATCATTTAAACTTGCTGAACTAAGATCTTTTGGACCATGTACAATCGATGATTGAGGAGAAGGCCATGCTTGTGTATAATAATTTCTAGGATCAGCCATAAGTGCTAATGACGGAGGTACTGGCCATGGACTCATTGGCCAATAGGTAGCTTGATTTTGAAATGTATGAAATAAATTTTGAAACATTTGTTGTTGTGATGTTGTTGGCGGTGGTGCTGGTGGTAAAAATTGATTTGTATTCATATTTGAATGAGATTTTTTCAATGATTTTGTTTCATCATTATTTGATTTATTTGAATGACGTGATATTTTAGTTCGTGTTGTTGAAGAAGATATTTCTCTTGAACGTTTTTTTGTTACGCCAGATGATTCAATATTATTTGTTTCTAATTTTAATGGAATATCATTTCTAAAAATGATTCAATATAAAAAGATAATAATAAAGAATATAAATTTTTAACATACAATGTTATATTTGATTTTGATAAATCAATTAATTGATTATCATCAGATTTATCTATTACTCGATTATGATTTGTTTTCGATGTATGAAGTGGTGAAACAGTTGCAATTGGTTTTGTTAAACGTGTTGTTAGTGGATTTGTTATAGGTAATAATGATGATGATGATGATGATGAATTATTTGTTGGTGTTAATGATTCATCAGCTGCTAAAAGTTTATTAGCTTCTTGAATAACTTCTGAATATGAAAGTTGTTTTTGTTCAATTATTTCATTTGGATTTTCATTTTCTGATGGTGATGAATTTAATGAAATAATTGATGTATTTGGTGGTAATAATGAAATAAGAGATTTTTCTTCTTTAATTTTCTTTTTTTTTTCATTTTTAGATTTTTTTATTACAGATTGATCATTTAAATTTGACCTAGAAAAAAAATGAATCAAAAACAAAAAAATTAAAATTAAATAAATCAAAAATTTTACTTTTTTAATCTTTTTTTTTGATTTTGAAATATCATTTATAGAATGCATTGAATAATTAATTGGTGTTGTTATAGCAAATGTTTTACAATCAATTAATGTACATTCTTTTGGTTTAATTAATTCAGTTGTTTCATTACCATGCAATTGTTCAGTTATAGAATTATTTAAACTAATTGTATGTGCTTCAGCTGGTGCAAATGGTGTTGTATGAACAAATGAATTAAATATATTAGTTGAACGAACAAATGCTGCAGGTTTTGATACAACCTAAAAACAAAACAAAAATTGATCATAAAAATTTTGATAAAAACTATTTTTATTAAATTTACTGTTGTTATATTATTTTCAGATGAAGTTGTTAAATTAAGAATACTATTTGTAATTGATTGTTCAGTTTTAATAGGACTTTTTATTATTAAATCATTTTGTTCACGTTCAATAATAATAACTCTATAGTATAAATGTAATTGTTTAGATTTTTCTTGTTTATTTTGTTTCCATGAATAAATATGATTTAATATTAAATTATCTAATAAAATTTTTTGTTCATATAATATATCAATTTGATAACGTGTTCGTTTTGATAAAGGTAAAACTTTTTTTAAATATTGTTTTAATATATTTATTGGCATATTTGATGAACATTCAATAAAAAATAATGATGTTTTAGGTTGAAAATCTTTTCGTTCATTTTCATTATATTCTAATGTAATATAAATATTTTCTTTATTATTATATTTATTTTTTTGTTGAAATAAACAACGTTCACTTAATTCACCTAATTCTTCTTCACGACAACCCATTTGTGATGAATGTGTTTTAGAATATTGTTCAATTAATTTTATTTTATTATCAGGATTTGAATCATAATATATACGTCTTTGACACATTTCACGTTTAAATAATGATGGTACTAATTTATAAACAATTTGTTGTAACCAACAATCTTTTGTTATACCAAGTAATGGATTAGCTGGATGTGGAACTGTTGAACATATAGGACATGTTGTATTATCATCATTATCATTAAAATATGAAAATATACATGAACGACAAAATGAATGTAAACATTCATTGATTGTCCAAGCATCAATTAAATAACCTGAACAAAGACGACATGTTAAATGTTCATTTATAAGATCAAGATTGAGTTTTTTGGATGGTATCATTGTCTAGAAAATATTCTGAATAAAAAAAGCTTACGTATATGAACTGTATATATGTCTGACGACTGCTTTCGACGGTCAGTCAGTCATCAAATATAGTGAAGAAAAAGAGAAAAAAAAACGACGCGAGAGAGAGAGAGAGGAAAAAGAGAAGGACGATGAACTTGCTGTACAGACGCGTTCGCTCACACATATGTATTCAGCTCTTTTTTTTTTTTTTTTTTTCTTTGCCTTGTTGTCCATTTATTCAATGAGATGAGAAGAGAATGCGTATCATACGACCAGAATAAAAGAAGAAAAATAAATCTTCTCGCTTTTTCTTTTTGTTTCTTTCTTTTTGTAATACATACGCAGACGTCTTTTCTTTTCTTTCTTTAAAAAAAAAACATCAACGAATGAAATTTATGCGTTTAGTTGATTGAGTTAATATTGATTGGTTATTGGATAAAAGGACGTGCGCGCGCGCAATTGTTCTATGCGGCTTATTACAAAGAGAACAAAAGATAAATACTGAATGATAAAAAGAACTGTCAAGTGATGAAGAGGATTTAACTATAGTATAATAAATATCGATGAATTTTTGCGTTTTACATCTGATTTTTAGAATTTTTGTTAGTAGGCTAATCAAGGATAGGCTCGGTCGGGCATCATTCTACCATCAGAAGAAAGAAAGATGTAATAATTACTATCATTGATGCTATGTTGCATGAATTTCTTCTAAAGATCGTATGGCACATTGTCCTACAATACAGAAACATCGGCACGATATGAGTCTAGGGTATGCTCAACTTTTCAGCCAAACTAATTCGAAGAACGGGTTGAAAATGATTTTATTGTTTCGAATGAAATCCGCAACTAACGAAGTAACAGAGAAATGTTGCTTAAAAAAGCAATAAAATTATTCATGATCAAAAAAACATTTTTTTTTTCGAGTCATAACACTGAATGATTGTTCAGTGGTGACTGTTGAGCCAGATCTCGTAGCTTGGCCATCTATGCTATCACTCATGATCTTCTGATTGCGTGACTAATTTTTTTGTTTGTTTGTAGTTTAAATTCATTCGAGAAATTCTTTGTAACACTTTATCGATAGTTGATCATAATTTTGATATGACATTCTTTGTTGAACAAAAATTGCAAAGATGAGAATGGTATTGTTAAAGTCAATTCTTTTCTTAGGTGTTATTTGCAATTGTATCAATTGGCTAACATTCAATATTGAATGTCAATATTGTCTTGAATTTGTTTATTTTTCAATTGACATATACATTGTCTTTGGATCATATAGGTACTTTTTTGCGGGTTTAATCCATTTAAAGAGATCTTCTTTATTTCCGTATGGTAATCTTTGTACAAACTTGTCAAGAAAAAAATATTTGTTTTTTTCAGGAGATCAAATTTTATCGAAGAATGATAGAAGTGGTAAATTCTAACTAATATGTACGATACGTCAAAATATATGTGGATGGTGATATTAATGAAGATTGTATTTCTCTTAATAGAGGAAATGCATATTGTTTCCTTCTTATGTCTTCATGAATACAATCATTATCACGTATGCTGGTGATTATCATTTATCACAGCATGAACTGCATTTTCTTTCGCTCTGAAATCATTATAAGTCTATCATATCATCTGAGATATGGCTATTTCTGAAAGTAGTCAGTAAAAATCATCATAGTATTTTTTTGATTCTTAATAAACAAACTCAATATAAAATGGACTTTAATTTTATATAAAAAATCCATTGTTTGTCTAGATGCAGTCCTGTCCTCATGCAAAGCCATTTCTTCTGATTTTGTGTTAATGAATAAATATTTATTTCTCTTTTTCATTTTGTTATCATTTTATGTGCATAAACAACAAATGAACAAAATAATATTACTTGGTTTATTTGATTCTTATATCATTCGGAGCAATTGTTAAATAAAATACATAGTCGAAATTATTGTCGCATATTTGTTCAATATATATATATTATTTTTGTGCCTTTAAATTTATGATTTTTTAAAATGGTTCCTTTGCTAGCTCTATTGCCCTTGTTAAATTAAGGGAGCCTTTCAGAAAATTGGATTTTCGTCAAAAAAGAATGACTTTTGAGATAAACACATGAACATATTGCCTAGTATACGAATTCATAAAAGTAGTTCTAAATCTCAAATATTTTTGAGGATTTTTGATAGTAATCTTTGAAATAACCTAGACATATAATGATGTCTAAAGCAACTAGTAAAATGTTTTTGTAGAATTAGATCTGTAATATAAACAAATATTTTTCGGAGATCATCAAATCTTTTGCATCTTAGAGACATACTTTTGAGATGTACAATAGCTCGAAGATATGGGTGGTCATCTTTTGTTCACCCACATCCTCAAAATAGATGTTTCATGTACCATGAAATACCATATTTCTTATGGATTATTAGTAAAAATTAATCATCAGTATCACTTTTGAAAAAAAACCGTAAGGCAACAAATGAGTTTAAAAAAATTAACTTATTATTGTTATGTCTTTAATACATTTCACAGTAGACAACAATATGGATAATTGGTGAAAAAATGAAAGTGATATTTTTTGCGACTTAAATAATGTCAAATAGACTTTGGCCAATCGCTAATCTTTTGATTTAAAAAAAATCATTCTAACTCTTTAACAGTTTGGGAAAATCCTAGATTCAAAAAAATGATCAAGTTTCTGTCATTTTAGAGGTAAATATCTTTTTCCAAAGAAAGTAGGAAAATCTGCGAAATAAATCGAATTTTTAAAAATAAAAATTTTCCCAACAAAAGTTTCGAGTCAGAGTCCCCTCATTTTATTTTCTATCAAAAATCTTCTTTTACGAATTTCAGTTTTTTCCAATCAATTTGTTTTGTTGAGTATTGGATATTAATATTTACATGAAAAAAATAAACATTGTTGATAGAAAATAAGCCATAGTCCCATGCTCTATAAAATTTGTCGACTGTGTGTTGTTGAATGGTAAAACAAATATGAAGACAATGTGACAGATAGCATCGTTCATCATGATGTATCTCGTACAAGAGCAATCTGATGTAAATAGATAAGAGCTTCGATTGACATGTTATATTAATTATGCTTCACCTCCATTTTAAGTAATAATAGGAAGTCTATGTCAAAGAAAACCTTCTTGTGCGTTTTTCTCAAAATTGATTTTTTTTGTAATGATTGAACAGCGGACAAATTCTTTTTTCATCATTATACTTCATTCTAGAGAACTGTATTATTTTTTAATCGACAGATATATGCATAGTTCTTCAGATGAGAGAAACGGATCTTCTAGTTAATTATCAATGCTAGGTAAACCTTGAGTTTTCCAGAAAATCACGCCAAGTATTTCCAGACTATTGAAATTTCGATAATTCAAAAAATGAAATAGAGTAACAATTAAACAAATCCTTCTCCTCATTCAAAATTGTAAGAAGTTCTCTTTTAAATGAAAGTAATCCGAGTTATGTATACAAAGTTTCATCAATGTCTCATGTGCTCTGTCGAAGTTCAATTTTTGAGGTAGACTTCTCTAAACAACGAAAACAAATAAAGTTATAGAAAGATAATTTTTTTCTTTTGTCTAGTTAGAACAATGGGTAGAAGTACCAGTTTATATATTAGTATTCTATGAAGTTTTTATATTTCGAAAATAATCTTTCGACCTTAATTAATGTCATTAGATAGTATCAAATTAATTAGTCAATCGAAGTACAAATCCTCGAGTACTTTATTTTAAAAATAAAAATACAACAAGCATGACAGAAAGAAAATAGTTGTTTTTTTTTGTTACTTTCAAATTTTATATTCGTAATTCTATGATACGAATTAGCCAAATAATAGTATAACGAAGAAGATAGATAATAAAATCAGTAATATTCAATAGAGTAGTAATTGGAATGAATACAGACAAATAAATAAATAAATGAACACTTGAAATTAAAACGGTCCATAATGGTAATGAAGTAAAATGTGATGGTTCATAATTCTGTCGTTGTCTTCTACTACTTGCAATTGATTCATTTATTCTTTTCAATAAATATTCAAGATGAAAATGTTGTCGAAGACTTTCTTTATTTTTTACATGATCAATCATTATTTGTTTTGAACATTGATATCTTATATGATCATTAAAATTACCTCGTCTAATATTTGTTTCATTACAATACATACATTTGACAAATAAATAATCAAGTTCTTTAAGTAGTTTTTCATCAGTAATGCGTACAAATTTAGTAAAATATCGTCGACATACAGGGCATGATTGTTTTTGTCTAAGCCATGTTTTGATACATGGAAAACAAAAAATATGACGACAATAAATATCACATAAAGGTAGTTGAAAAGGATCAAGACATATTGGGCATTTAAGATCCATACTGATTTGAGTTTCATTTTCATATATGTAAAAATTAGACGACATTATAGATAACACAATAACTGGCCTTGTTGAATGATAATTAATATTTGAGAAATAAAAATGACGATGATATGCTTATTTTTATGCTATTATCAGATAAGAATCAACAAAAACAAACATTTCATTTAAGCAATATGTGTTCTTTGACTCCTAATATACAGAATCATAAACTATTGAAGAAGATAAAATACTCGAGAAGTATTGTTGTTTTTTAGATTATATGTTTGGACTCTACGTTTTCTTATATGATCCTAGATACCAGATGTTTTGGTCCTCATAAATGAAAATATTTATTTGTCTACGTGACAATATAATGATCGAATAAAATAAAAAAATTTTTTGCTTACTAAACATACCTTATTATTCATTTTGATTTTCTATTTATGTAATAAATCAATTTTCATTCTAAATCAAAGAGTTCGGAGTCTATTCAATCCAAACAAAAACTCAAGAAATCAAAGAACGTAATAATTAATACACGTGTTCTCTTAACTAAATATAAGTTGTATTTTCATACTTATGTGTACATGCTTATGGAAGGTTGTCTATTAAGAATGAAAAAAAAAATAACTTAAAAAATACTACTATCAGTACGTACTTGTCGTGTATCTAGGCCAATAAATACTTCGATATGCATTGCATTAGTGTAGAAATAAGCATGAATGATTCATGATCAGTCATATGTTCTAAGAAAAAAAAAAGACAACACAGGTGATTGTCATTCTTGGTTAATTTTTTTCGTGTGACGTATGCCATATAATTTTATATACATATGGACCATGTCATTTGTTAGGTCATTTTGCAAAATTAAAACATATATATCTTAGGATAATGAACTCTTCTAGAGTTAATTTTTATATGTTACATGTATGTTAAATTACTCTAGATTCTCTGAAAAAATCAATGCTAGAGAGCTTTGTTCACTAGAGTTATCAGTACAAAAAAAACTAACGTAAGCGATGTGACACAAAACAAGGATGTTGACTTTCATTCTTCTGTATTTTAGGTTCTAAAAAAGTTTGCATTGAGACAGCATTTTTGAAAACGAAATAGAACATTCTGTAGATATCTCTTGAAAGTACAAAATCTCTATATGAAATTTTTTCTGAGCATGCTTAGATTTTTCAAAAAGATCGATATACTTTTCGTTAGGAATGTGATGGAGTACGAATATACAAAAGAAAAAAACAGCGTTTATAACCGAATGAAAAATTTGAAGCCAATTTCAAACGGTATAAATCATTTTTCAGAATCTCCAGATGATGTTAAGACAAAAAATTTGTTCAAGCACCTCTAGAAAATCGGTTTTTTCAGAAGAAGTGTTTTTTGAACTTCGATCTTGCTGAAAATTTCATCATAGATGTAGGTCGTGTCGACAGAGTCTGTCTTGAAGTTTTCGGATTTCTTTTCTTGTATGATTAGAGAGATAGTCGTGAATTACTTTTTAATTAGTAATCAACTGAAAGAGCCAACATTTTGACATGTCTATACAAAAAGAACTTATTCGGAAAAATAACCGTTGTAAAGAATCACAAGCAAATGAAAGGGGGGGGGGAGGTGGAGGGGTATGTCCCGTCTTTCCTAAAATAGTCCATATCTATATTAATTTGTGTTCAGTTTCAATTGAAATCTAGAACGTTGTAGAGTTTGTCAGTGTGCTCTATTGAACTTTAGTTTGTCGTGACAAGCTTCAGCTAAAAAACAAAAAAGAAAGGATCTATTAAGTTTATGTTTTTTGAGTAGTATATTTTATCAATGTTTATTTGTCTTTGAATCTTATGTATTTCATAAATGATATGTAAAATATAGATATAGGAGGTTGTTATGTTTTGTTGAGTTATTTCTCAATTCGAAAAAAAAAAGTAGGATGTTTCAGTTTATATATTCCTTGTGATAGAATTATAGTTGTCTCCTCTTGCAACTTCATAATGCAATTTAAATGACTTAAATTTTAAAAAAATTGAAATAAAAATGACCATGAAAAAGACGATTTTTATTATGAAACTTTATTAAAGATTTGATTAACTATAATTTTTTTTTGTATGTATTAAGTCACATATCAATCAATTATGTTAAAGTAACTACTAGTGAGACATAATACACTACACTTATTTCGTTTCATTTCTTGTCTATGCTTTTCAGCTATCAGCATAGATTCTTCGAGTTAAGCATATGCTTGATCTTCAACAAAATCGTGTCGAAACAGTATATCCACTTGTATCGAGTATGGATAAGATTGACTACTAAAAGTTGTTTGTTATTCTTGAAACTTAAATAGAAAAGATGAAAGTTAATGTATTTGTTTAAGATTTAGTTTGTGAACAATTAATCGATGATTCGTAGTACCTCACTCTCCTTCAAAATGTCATTTTTGTTCTACAAATTATAGTTCTTACATATCATAATAAACGAAACGTGATACATATGCTGTGACATCTACAACTGGCATAGAAATTTCTCAGATTCTACTACAATAATGTTACATTGCTTAAAATCAAATCAAACGACAGAAAAATTCTCTATTTCATATTAGATTTCTAATATTGATTTATAAATACTTATTTAAATAAAAAAATTACTATTAGATAATCTTAAGTTTTTGATAAACTGATCAAATAAGTCATGAGTTGTTTATGCATATAATCGAACATTTCTTTGAATAAAATGATATTTTTTTAAACTATTGTCTCTCTCTACGTTCGAGGTTTCTATCAACAATGATTCGATGAAATTCGATACAAAATTATATTAATGGCGCTATTATGAGATAGTCTACTGTGTACAAAACCTGATTTTTTTTTGTTCAATTTTATTCCATTATTTCTATAGGACAGTTCGACTCTTTAATCATTGTTGAATGATGAATAATACAAACATAATATGATGTTCTTATGAAAAATCGATAATATAGACAAAGATTATAAATATCGTCAACAATTAATTGAAAGATATTTATTTCATTTTCCAAATTATATTTTGTGAAAATGCGCCTTGTCTATTTTGATAATTATAGTCAATTTACTAATTTTATAACTTACATTCATATATTTCATCAATAATTTAATTCTTCTGTATTGTTTTGATTATGCATTTAATCATTATGCTTTTTCAATTATTATTGGTATTAGAAACTTCAATATTGTTAAGTGGTTTATTCTTTACAAAAGTAATGATTGTTCACTAATTTTTTTATTTCAGAAAGTAGAAGACAGTTTCAAGAGTCATATATTTAAATTTCATTGAGAATGATAGGATAATTTATTTTCCATGATCTTATTCTAATCTCTTCGTTATTAATTAAAATGATTTCAAAATCTTAAAGTACATTTCGAATAGTACTTAAAACTGTATTGTCTGCTAATATTGGAAAATCCAAAAAATGAAAAGAAAAATTCTCTTCAAATAAATCTTCTTATAATTTAGAAGTAGAATTTGTTGTATTCGAAAATTAATGATTGTATCAGAATATTTGTATTACGTAGAGTTAACGAGTATTCAAATATATATATATATATTTTTGTAGACGAAAAAAAATGATCATCATTTCATTGCTGCAAAATACGATCCCGATATGCCTAAAAGAGTACGACAAATTTTGGACGAAGTCGGTGATCATCCTATCCTCAAAATTCAACTTGGTCGTACACCAGTCGAAGCTGTCCTAATTCTTTTTCTTAATATTCTCAGTTCTTGGAAATTTTCTGATAAACAAATTGAACTTGGTTACGACGAAATTTATCACAACTATTTACTTATTACTATTCAGAACAAAAAAAAACTAAATGTATTACAAACAATGATTGAAGCTTCGAAAGATACCGTTGGTAGTAGTGTTTACAAACTTGAAAAAGCTCATCGTGTTCGTCTCATGAAACCAGTATTTCCTACTGAATTTGTCGATATATACAATATTCCACTTACGTCTAATAAAACATTTACGTTAAATCGATTAATAACTACAGCATCAAATATAGACAAACATTTTTATACATACGATGCTGGCAATAACAATATGTGTCAAACATTTGTGGAAAATATTATTGATATTAATGGTTTAACATCAAATATTATTGATAATATAACACGAATAGCTCTTAAACCACAAGATGCTAAAACACTTGTTGCTACACTAGGTAGTCGAAGTGATATTGTTAAACGAATTACAGATCTAGGTGGTACATTAGATAAATGGGTATTTGATCATAAAATTAAATGGAAAAAACCAGTGGTAAAAGAGTTTACACTTATTGGCAACATGCATGTTAAAGCAAAAAATGATATTACAAATAACAATATAGATGATATTATAAATAATAATATTGATGATATTCTAAGTAGTAGTGCTGATACTATTGTTGTAAATGGAATGACAGATACTGTCATCGAAAATGTTGATGATGCATTTAATGCTGTTATTGCACTTGAGGAAGACGAGAAGAAGACAAAACGAAATCAATTGATTATCATGATTTTTAGTATTCTACTCGTAATTTTACTAAGTCTTGGTGCTGCTTTTGTTATCTTTTTCATATGGCAAAAAAGAAAAGGTATGTTTAACTACTTTGTCTTTTGATACAAATTTTTCAAAAATTCCTTTTCGATAATAAATTTCATCAATTGACTTATTCATAATGTTTCTTATTTTTCAGATAAGCTTATGGGAAAAGAATCAACCGGTGATATAGTAGATAAATCAAAAACCGAGTCAAATTTATCTATAGCTACTCATGCGAATGGCGATTAACAGATCAGCGATTGATTCTCAGCATCATATAGACATAAACTGCTCAATAAAAGTTTTCCTTTCATCTATTTTTTTAAATCTTGCATGTTTCCTTTTTTTTTTGTAATATCGAACTAATGTATAACGTAATTATAGACCGAAGCAATAATCTTTGTTTTTTTACTCCTCTTCGTTCCTATTTGTTGATTCGAATGATCCAATCTTATGTAACAATTATGAACATATAAAATGTGAAACAATATTGAGAATTTTTTTTTCATTCTTGCTTTGTTCGTTAGATTTTCAGTATGTTACTTCTTTTCTCCAATCTAATTGATTAGGCCCTAACATCTCCGAACCTATTGGCAGATAAATATATTCTGAACGAAAAGTCGTGCAGCATTAGCTTGCAGATGCCAACAAAAATGAAGATCTTTCTGATCGATTCAGAATTGTTCAAGCAAGTGTCACATTTAAGAAATTACATCACAAGGTTATTAGTACTGGTAAACGTAAGCTGATCACAAAATCAAATGAATTTTGTAAAAGTTTAGAAAAAAAAAGGTAGTATTGAATATAGATGCAAATTATATTCGATATCGATTACGTGGAAATGGTTGGATGTTTTGGTTCATCTTTAAAAAAAGACTCCTTACGCATAGATAACTGTCATAAGTAACGATTTCTCATAGCTTAACAATATCAAAATTTTAATTGAAATAACATGATTTTTACTGACGCGAAGAATTTCGAACTCAATAACTGTCCAAGAAATATTCGAGAATATTGAGGTATCATCAAAATTGTTCGTAGAATTAAACATCTTCTCAAATTGCATGTCTAAAATATGAGAATAGTCATTTGCCGATTGTTCATTATCCATTTCTTGAAGTTCAAGCTTGCTTCATCCTACAAGAGAGCAAGGACTCTAAACATAAATCTTGTCTGGTGATTGATCGAAATTCAATCGAAAATGTTTGTTTGATGATGATAGACACAATAAATCAAAACAAACTGAAATAATATTCGACAGAAAATTCTTTAATTAAAGTTTGGCTTTGAAAAGGTTTCAAAGAAGTCACATATTCACAAGTGTCACACACTGATGTGTATTGCTTAATCTAACTAACGTGAAACAGTCAGATTACAACACATTATTTAATGTAGCGCTATTTTATGTTCTTTATGAGTACAGAACGAAGAATAACAAAAGAGAAAACTTTCGAAAATCATTTTTCGATTTCGACGCAGAAGAAGTCATTGGTGCATTTATTACAATATGAATAAGTGAAAATGAATACTCTGTCTAGTAAAAAAGAACTAGATACGTGCTATGTTTTCTTAGTGCAAACAAAAATTAGAATTTATTGTTGAATAAAAACAAATTATTTCGTAGTTTTGCGCCTAATTAAAAACAAATTCTGCCTAAGTTTAATATTACCCGTCATAGGGAATACATAAACTAAAACATCCTTCACGTTTTTGTATTGGAAAAAGGCTTATTAGAACTTCAAAGCATCATATATTTATAGTTTACATATCATCCATGAACCACATAAAATTCGAAGACAAATAAATATCGATACAGAAGACCACTTGAGAAAATATTACCTTAAAGATCCCTTCTTTTTTTGTCGTACCTTACTAAGACAAACTTAATTTCAATTGAGAACACTGGCGAACTCTACAATTTTCTAGATCCAACTAGACTTCAATTAAAGTTGAATATAACTTAATATATCAGATTTTTATTAATGTCTTTTTCGATTTTTTAAATTTTAAAATCTTTTAAAGACTCTATTTTATATTTACTTAAATTTAAACTTTGCCTGACATATGTATCCTGTTCTTTGTTCTAACAGTCATTTTCAACGAGAAGAAAAACAAAAATATCATCACTCATCGATTGTGTAAGATCATCTGATAGTTATGCAATTACATTGAGATAAAAACCTCACATATTGACGAACGATTTGAATTATAAATGAAAGTTGCTTCTGTACGATGTGTTCATGTTGTACGACACAGTAAAATCTTCTTTCACAATTTGAGACCTATTCTTTTAGATATTTTATTAAAGCGTATTTATTTACGATAGATGGCAGATTCAAAATTTCAAAATGATGTTAGCAAAGCCGTTCCAATTACTGGTTGGTTGAAACGATTACTTCCATATGAACGGGAGTTATACGAATCTGGCCAACTGCAAAATATTACACATCATGGTTCATCTTCAATTTGGTTAGAAGCTCCTTCTTCTTCTCCACATCCGGGACAAACAATAGTATATCGACCAATGGGAGATACTGAAGTCAAATACTTAGTAGAACATGGAGAGCTTCCTGATACTCAATCATATCAAGCGATTATTGAAGGTGAAAACGGTAGATTATATGCTAACAAATATCTAACTGGAGCAAAATGGGTTGGAACGCATCCAACGACGATCGTAGAATTTTGTGCACCCACAAAATTGATTGAGACATTAAAACAGAAACAAATGAAGATTGAAGATGGTGCTTTATCAATGGGACTTGGACATAAAGCAGGAAAAGGCCTTCCACTTTTTAATGAAAGTATGAGAAAAGGAGATACGACTTTTCGAATTGTGAAGATAAAGAGAAGCAAGGAAAAATCAGAAAAATAAATCTTCAATAAAAACACTATTTATAATGTAAAATAACCGCATGTCATTGCCATTTTGGTTTACAAGAACCAGCTGAACTTTGCCAAGGTGCAACTTCTACAACAACTATTTCATTGTGATAAATTCAAAACTGACGATCTCGTTTTCTATTGTATGCGCTAATTATGTTCAAAGCTTCATGTACATATCTTTATTAAATATTATCCATATTCTAGTATAAGCGTTCTAAAATTGTAAACAAGGGAACTGTATAAACTTCCTCTTTCCTAAAATAATTTGTACTCTGTTGTGCTCTTCTAGCTTCGTTAATAAAAATTGAGATTTCATTCTTTCAAACCTTCTGAGAGTTCATACAGGTGTGGATGTGAACACCTACACCCTCATCCATACTCTCATATCCAAACCCACACCCATACTCTGTTCTGTTTTGAGTGCATCTTATATTCGAACTTCATTTTGAAAATTTGTCGCATATGTCGTACCTTGCAATACATACGAAAGATTTTATTTTAGTGCGCGAACAATTTATCTTAGTAAAGCAACCCTTTTTTTCTTGATTAAAAAATCAGATATTCGTAGAATTCTCGATTGTTTAGCATTTTTTTAATTAGATGAAGAACACCAATGGCAAGCTAAAAGCAGTCACAAATAGCTTTGATACACCCTTCAATGCATACAATATTCTATTCTACTATTATGCTTACTAGTAAAAATTCAACATTGATTACATGAACGATGAATACATTGTATTTTAATAGCTATCAGCTAAACAGGTAAGATTTTGTTAAACTATTTTGCAGATATCAAAGTAAAGTTTTTCGAGTTTATTACATAACTAACAATTACATAACATGTGAATAATTCTTATACAGACAACAAAGATTTGTTTCAACTATTTTTGCGATTTAAAAGAAAAGCTATTGACTTTACCATATGATTGAGGAACACATCAAATACGATTAATTTTTATGAACAAAGTTTTGTTCAGCTAAGTTGTTGATTTAGAAGTATAGTTTCAATTTTGATTACACGATCGGTTATTCGCAGAGTAAACGAATAACTTGAACAGCAAAGAATTTATTCAATTATGTTACTTATTAGAAGACAAGTCTTGAGAATTAATCATAGGTTCAACGAGAACAAAAATATAGAATAATTTTCATTTGCAACGGTCTGTATAAATATTTCTCTTACTCGAAATAAAGATGTCCAGTAGTGACAAGAGCAAAGTCTACATGTCTAGAGAACCATTTTAACAACCATCATCAGAAACAGATGTAGTATAATCAAGATTTCATTCAATTATTAGTTCTCGGATTTGGAAGTTAAGTTTCGTAGTTGATTACATAATTGCGGACTGCATAGTAAAAAGACACGTTTACGTTCAGAATGATATTCAAGTATGTTGGTTTCTCAACAATAAAATTAAGAAATGGTATCAAGTTTGTAGATTTCATAGACAATAATTGATTCTAAACACGACCAGCAGAATTTTGGGTAACTAAAAAGAAATCGAAATTTTGTGAAGATATAATACAAATACATAGATAAAAACTTATTTGCAAAAGAAGAAAGTAAACAATTGGAAAATCTCGGTAGAACTTTGAACCTGAAGATGTACTTTATGAAAAGCGTTGAAAACCATTAATCAAAAGAAATAAATGCCGCGGTAAGGATGCCGGAAAAGATAGATATGTTGTTAGATTGATGCTCAAACCCACATTACAAAATACAATTCTCTATGATTCTGCTTTTCTCAAATTTGTTATGCATATTATTATTGAGAACTCATTAAAATAAATTGAGACTATCTGTATCAGCTCATGTCTAAGCAAAACTCTATGGATTTTTATAGAAAATCTTGTGCGTATTAAATAATTTTTGACTAAAATGGGAATTCATAATTCTGAAAATATTCGAGTTTTTGTGATGTTTCTTCCTATTCTCGTGGACTTCCTGCAAAATTACATGTAGAACACGATCAAACTACTTTTATTATAGACAAGAATTCCTTCAATAAAATCTTTTTCGGTTTCTCAAGCATGCGTTCTGTCGTTGCATACACCCGCAGGAAAAACATATCTAGGCATAAAGAAATACGGACAATCGTCACTATACTATTCAACACTCATTTACGGTTGAGCTTGACAAAGTAGCATCATTTCGATTAAAAACTCCTTCAAAATAGAGTAAAGTATTGAAATTTGAGAAATATCCCTATTACCTAAGTTCTGTAAAAAAAAAGCCAAGCTCTCACGATTTCTGGTACGCAATAAAGTATTTTGATCTTACTGATCTTAGATTTCAGCATAAACCTTTTTGCCATCTTCCATTTAAATTAAGTTCCCAGGCATCAAAAGTATTACTTGTCATCTTTGAACGGTTAGGTCATATATTATATATGAATCGAGCAGACATGAAAATGATCATATAATCCTAGCTAAAAATCTGATGCGTGAAAGCAAACTAACAAGAGGATATAACCAAGTACTTCTTCCACAATTATTTTCGAACGATCTAATATTATTGACACCTCGACTCCGATCCCAATTATGATTATAGAGATTATTCATATTTACATTTTAGAAGGTTAACAAAGGTCATATTTGTGGTTTTTTTCTCGCGAAAGCCTTTTTCTATCCATTTATTTATATAAATTATTTTATCATAATTGTGCCACATCTTTGCCCAATATTAATTTTTAAGATTTCAGGATAGTTATATCATAGTCAGCACAGCAAAAGTCGAAGTATAGTTGACACAGCCAAATGCTCCATTATAATCAAACACAAAGTTAAATTTGAATCCCGACTATTCTTCAACTTGTACTGTATTGACTACGATATATCTTTTCTGAAATCTTTACACTTTCTGGCAAAGAAATTACTGAGCAAAGTGCAATAGAATGGTACAAATATGATAACATAATTAATGTAAATAGAGGAATAGAAAAAGATGTTTGTAGGAAGACAAGGTATCTTTATATAGAAAAAATGTGTTCAAACATAGATTTTGCTTTTATGTATGATTTACTTTCTGCTTTTACGGTAATGATGAGCCTTCATTCCGTAGGTTCTTTCTTCCTCTTACTATGCTCTAGCTACTTTTTCTAGAAGAATAGATCATTCACATCTCCTCCTCGTAGTGACGCCCTTACCGTCTACTAGAAAGATTTGTCAACAGTTTCATACGATCTCATGTAATAACTAACGGTGAAATCATTAGTAATTTACCTGGATCCATAATTTTCGTGAAACGTTATATAGTTTGAAACGAATGTTTTGGTTGTATTGTATGACAGAATCACAAGTAGGACCCTGGAAATGTTTATAAAATAGTAAACATAAAACAAGTATTTCAAAAATATTAATATACTATCTCATCGAGCCTTTCATAAGAATCTATAGAAAAAAAGCAGTTGACTTTGATCTAGTCCATTACCGTATATGATCTTATAATACTTCAATGCCTCTCTGGGGGAATTTTTAAAAGAACTTAGAAACTCATTTACTCTTTAAAAGTTTTTCGCGCAATCCTTCGATCATTAAAATGCAAAACATGATATTCGAAATGTTTGCCACGGTTTGTGGAGCAAATTTAGGAGAAGAGCAGAAGTAGTTTACTTTTCTTGCTATACACTTTAGCAGTCGTTAAAGATTGCATTTCACAGATAGATATGAACTATTATATTTTCATATACTTATTTCACCAAGTCATAGAAGAATTCAGATTGTTCAAAAATGTCTTTTTCAAAGCAAAATAAATTCACTATGGTTATAGTCGTCTCTGATTAATAGCAAAAAGCTAAGAAGAAATATCTCAACTTCAGTTTCCCGTTTAAACATTTTATTTATCAAGAATTTTATTGCTACGATTGTTTCATAGTCGTGTGTGTTACTGAGATTGGTGTTATGACCATTTGGATGATTTCTCTTCTCTGTTGTCCCTTCTCAACAATTCACAAAAATACTTATTGAACATCGATCGATATCGATTTCTTTCTAAAACAGAAGTTTGAGTCAGTTAAACACGACTTCTTGCTCTTATAAAAGTATTTTTCTTAATAAAGCTTGAAGAAGAGAAGCTTTTGAAACTTCAATAGAACCAAAAATAGTATCCTATGTCGGACCAATGCTGATGCTAGCAACCCAGTTAATGCTTAATATCCATACTCTTTTTCAGCCATTCATCAGATCCATATGGTCATTATTGAAAAAAAACACTAACTTCTAGTGAGAGGACAGAGTTGTAATACATACCTAGTAATAGGGCTACAATGATGGAAGAATGGAAGATGTTGAAATTGAATATCACAGAATGAAAGGAACTTTATATACTTACCGCACAAAAAGAAGACAAGAAAACATGAATAAGAGTAGTAGGCGCGCCATACGAATAGAGAACTAATATTGTTATCTGCACGACAACGAAATAGTGAATCAATAGAAATGATACAAGTCAAGGTTTATTTTGTTGAGTGGTTGGCAATGGATATGAGTAAGAAAACAAAGTAACAGTCATAGACAGACGTCAAACAAAATTCAACAAAAAAAGATAAAAGACAAAACTCAATGTAAGACAGCAATAATTCAACAGTATAGGACAGAACGAGAGACATGACCTTGTCTTAGAAACTCCGAATACTTGAGGATTGAGAGTGTTGATATGCGTCAGAGTGTGAGTAATGTTATAAGTGTGAATGTGAACATGAAGAGACGATTCACTGTTACGCTCACACAACTTCATTCTGAAGTATATGTCAAAGTCTGTTTTTTTTTGTGAAGAAACATACATTAAAATATTCCATTGAATGTGAGGGTCAGAGTATGAAGGTTACGATTATGAATGGAAACATGCACACAAGAGACCTTATATACATCCACTGCGCGAGTTCTAGGTTGAAAATGAAAGAAAAATTCACGTGGAGATTAGGACGATGAAAATGCCAAAGATGTATAGGTCTTTTGACGACTTGAAAAAGTTCGATTACATCTAAATTATATACCATAATTAAATAATCAGTAAAAGTGTTTTCTTTTTGTAAATCCGTTATCTCTCGTGGCATATGCTGCATCTCCGATTTTCTGGATATGTGACCCTAGTCTCAAAAATTGGATCCGAGAGTCTTAGGTCTTAGTGAATTTCGATGAATCTACTATATAGTTCAACAGAATTGATCACGAACCACTGGGATCAAGTAGAATCCAGAGATCTTGTATTTAAAATATCCCAAACGGTCAACAACAGATAATGTGTCTAGACTACCAATCTTTCGATGCATCATAACATTAAGGAATAACTGAATGAGCTCTACTGTTTGGTATAATCTGTTGTCCTCTAGATCAAAATGGATCTTCAAAAATATTATTATATTGATCAATTACTTAAAATTTTCGAATATATGCGTACAGGATCTTTTTTGCAATCTATTCCAAGGGTCTAATTCTTGTTTTAAATACAATTCAAAGAACTCTTTCTGAAAGTGTGACCCGTTCTCTCATAGACTGAAAGATTTTTTGAAAAATTCCCAAATATCAGTTTTTCTACTGTGAAATGTTCTACACACTTAGATATAAGTCTTCCTTCCAGTTTTTTTTTAATCTTGTGTGTTTGCGCGTTTTTTGTAATATCAAACTAATGTATCACGCAATCATAAGTCGAAGCAATAAATAATCGGTTTTTTTTCATTTCTCTTCGTTCCTATTTGTTGATTCGAATAAACTCATCTTATATAACAATTATGAACATGTAAAATGTGAACCAATATCGAGAATGTTCTTTTTTCATTCTTGTTGTGTCCGTTAGATTTTCAGCATATCACTTCTTTTCCTTCAATCTACACGATTAGATCTTAACATGTCCGAACCTATTTCCAAGTGAATGTATTCTGAACGAAAAGTCGCGTAGCATTGGCTTGCAGATGACAACAAAAATGAAGATCTTTCTGATTGATTCAGAACGGTTCAAACCCGTGTCGCATCAAAGAAAATACCTCCCAAGGTTGTTAATACTAGCAAACGTAAGCTGATCATGAAACCAAATGAATTTTGTAAAAGTTTAGAAAAAAAAAAGATAGTATTGAATATAGATCCAAATTATGTTCGATATCGATTACATGGAAATGGTTGGATGTTTTGGTTCACCTTTAAAAATAGGTTCTTACTCACAGATAACTGTTGGGAGTAACGACTTATTATAGTTTGACAGTATCAAAACTTCAATTGAAATGATATGATTTTTACTGATGCGAAGAACTTCAAACTCGATGACAACTCAAGAAAAGTTCGAGTATGTTGAGGTATCATCAAAAATTGTTCGTAGAATTAAACATCTCAAGTAGCACTTCTGAAAATGCGTCTCAAAAAAACAAAGGTTTCGAACAATCGGTTAGTTTTAAACAGAATTTGACAAAAGATTGTTAAGGACAGTATATATGAGAATAGTTTGTTCGATGATAAAGGGCGCAATAAATCAAAAAACAACTGAAATAAATCGAGAATTAAAGTAAGAAATAAAAAAGACATGAAAATCTCTACTACTTCACTCATCTCTCAAGGCAGTCGATGGTATAGAAAGGCAAGTAAAATGTTTATGTCATAAAAACGGTGACTATGTATCATATAAAAATAACATAGCTATTTTATACTTTCGTTCGATCATAAAATTAAAGTAAATATGAAAAAGTTTTAAGACGTGAGTTAGGAAAGACTTTAGCTCAAGAATGTAATCAATCTTGTTTTTTTCATTTAAGAAATTTATTTGTCCCATCTACAGTATTTGGAAACCATCATTCTGCATTATATTAGGAATTCGAGAAAACATACTTGACTGTTTTAATTTTGAAAGAAATACTTCCGATGAAAATGAAAATACAATAGTTTACGTTTAAAAATTATATTTATAAACATTATTTAAAATTGAATATCATACTGCTTAGATAAAATGAATGTTATAATTAGTTAACAGTTACAGTTCATTCTACATTATTTATGTTATCATTTGTTGCGAGTGGTGGACACATATCTGGACTAGTCAACGAAACTGGATAACATAAATGTTGACCATTGCATCGATTATCTATGACACATATTGAATCTGTTGTATCACACTTGTCAGCTGAATTACAAGGTGTTGCAAGAGAACATTCTACTTGAAGTGTACAAATTCGTTCTCCTGTTGGTACTACCGTCGAACATCGACAATTGAAATTATCCGAACATTCGCCATTGTTTTTTAATGGATCACAGAAACTCTGATATGGTATCATCTCATTATCATCCACTGCAAATAATACTACAATAGAAAAGACACAAAATCATTTAACAGAACACTATTAGTATAAATGTGTAACTATTTCTGTAATGAAACATACCCGTATATGTACATATACTAAAACTAAAATAAAAATATATGAAAGTGTAAAGTGTACGATGTACAATACTTACAATAGAAATACAAGAAAGTAAACTTCCATGATTTAATATAATCGAAAGTTGTCTCACACGTGTTTTATATCAAAAAGAGAATAAACAAGACAATAAATTAGAAGTATATAGTCTTGAAGATTGATTTTTTAGAGTCGATATATTAAATAGATGATTGACCAAACTTCAGATTAAATTTTTAAATTATTATATTTGAAAAATAGTACCCAAAAAAAACCTAGTCGGTGGAAATTTGCCAAATACTTACGTTACATTGCTCGATTATGTTCCTATGGAAGAATTCTGAATGAGCCTTACCATGCTTTTCATATATGTATGCACTTATCAATCAGTATTGTTTGTCAAAGCAACATAAAAACATTCACCTAATGGAATTTCAAGTGCACTATAAAGTCTTTTCTTTCTCTACGTGCAGAACAAAGATTGTGACATTCTTTTTTATTCTAACAGGTGCACGAGAAAAAAGAAAGAAAAAAGTTGACGAATTATATCTATATCTGAAAGTGGATTAAAACAGAAAGAGAGATATTTTCGTATATTTGATATATAATGTATACTGATAAAACTAAACGCATATCTATATTATTCCATTACACATTTTAAAAAAAATCCAGTATATTGGTGTACTAACGACAAACCTTCAGAGTATAGATGTTTATTCAATCAGTACTTATTTATTGTCGAATAGTAATAAAAACTGAGCCGACTTTTTTAATAGATCTATTCAAGGTTTATCTATATGTTTGAGATGATAGAACAAATATGATATATGTTACAGTTGATAATAAAAAATAGCAATAAATATGAATCTCTTGTTAGTTTCAAACATGTTGTTAAATACAAAATAATTAAACGTGACAAAGCTAAACAAATGAATAAAATAAAGCTAGCAATTAAATATTAATGAATATAAAATTGTGATATTAATTATGAATGGAATTAAAAAATGAAATATTGAAATAGTTTTATCATAAATTTTAAAGAGTGTTGACAGACAACTAATAATACGCTATATTCATTCTTCCGTTGAATATTCAATTAAACGACAATAAAAATAATCATGCATTGTTGATATTATATTTAAAAATCTAGTCCTTATTCAACCACATTTTCTGTTAAACTTACCAATAATAAGAACACTTATGGTACGTTCTACGGCAACACAAACGTTCAACTTTGTACTAATTGATGGAATACATTTTTATTTCAATTATAAGACAATTTGTTAGATCTAATGTCATTAATATTTGTGTTAATAATAAATTTAAAAAAAATATATATCAGAAATAAACTAATTTTTGTTAATGATGTTATTGATGTACATAATAAATAAAGTCTACAATCATAATCTTTTGTTTTTGATTGAAGAGATGGTGAGCATCGATAACCAGGTGTATACAAAATTTTTTCATAAGAACTAATTGTTCCATTTTATGGATTCATAAGTAAAATAAGAAAAAATATCTAATCGATAATCACATATTTTTGGACGCGTCATTTGTTCATCGAATTATACTGTCCCTAGTAGATATTGACAACTAAATGAATCAACTACTTCACATTTAGTACTAAATGATTAATCAGAATCATCTTAATATTATTGAAAATTATCCATTAGAAATCGTCTTGATGTATATTTATATCGATAAAATAATAAACATGTATCATCTAAAATTGAATTTCTTTCTTCATCTTCACTAATAAACAAGCACGAATTATTTGCTTTAAATTATAGAAATTATCAAACCATTGTTGATAGATTTGTTTTTGTCGAAATTTACATTCATATAAAGATCAACAAATACTATTATTAATATTCATTGTAGGTGTATAAAAACTGAACAATACGAAAAATTATAACATATATAATCAGATAAATAATTTCGTTCAATTAGATTAAAATGATCAGATATATAAATAAAATCAATATGACTATTTAATATCAGTTGTAAAGGATAGAAAAAAATCTGGACAACATTTTTTTATTGGTGCAGTACATTTGAATTGCCAACTCAAACACACATGTTGACAATCAATTATCATTGAACTGAATAACATTAAGTTTGCATGCACATTCAAGATATTTTTATTTGAATTACGTTGCAAGTAAAGATTACGTGAATGTAAAATATCTCATTCATTCATGCAACTATTAAGAAATGAATTTATTTTATTTGGTTCACTTGTTAGTTGAAATTATCCATTACCATATGAAAATTCACTATTTGAATTTATATAACTTATATAAAAAGTAATTTAATGCTATCGAACAAGATCTATTTGGAAATAGATGTTCATCCAAACTATCTAAACAATCGATTGATAAATTGAAAAAAACAAGCTGCTTCAGGAATACATTGTTAATTTGAATATTGATATTCACGTTTTTAAATTACATTCAAGTTGATAACAATCTTTTTCATCTTCATCATTCATACAATCAAGTCAACTATAAAATAAGTAATAGTATTTGAACTAAAAAACAAGTAAAATTTACCAGGTTTGATAAGCATCTTTATGAAGGTATTTATTTTACAATGGATCAATTACTTATCTATTCATCAAATTTGGTTTGTATACTTATTAATAGATACAGAATATTTTCGATAAAATGATTTTTATTAGCTAATATCGTATTATTTAAATAATATAATATTTATTTATTTGTGTCAAAAATGGCGCTAAGTTAATTATTTGAAATATTTCCTAATAATATCTATATTGTTATTTTATTGAATAAATATAAATCATAGCGTAACGCCAAGTTTACTCTTGATATGGAGAAAGATGAAAATAGTATTAACAACAAAAAAACGGAACGTTCGTATACACAGAATCTTATTAAGACTTCAAAGGAAATGTTGATCTATTTTATGTAGTATGTCATTCTTCATCATCACAAATATTATTAATACACGTATGAAAAGAACAACGGTATGCCCAAACGACTTGTACGACGATTCAGAAAAGCAATGCCAAGGATTAGAAGTTTCAAAACGTTTGCATTTGTAATTTGATAGTTTTAAAATTTTAGGAGTTGTATTATTGTAGAATATTGTTTATTAAACTTGTCAGTTAAATTGTCTTGTTATAGTGCATATAAATAATACAGTTCAAAATCAATTTTAACGTGTAATTATAGAGATATCTAGTGTCGCATTAAACATTTTGAATCACAGTTTCATGTTGACGAACTAGTTTATGTGAATGCATACATTTATCAAAACTCAGTCTCTTAAATAATGTAGATTCAGAATGAAATTATGTAAAGATAATAAACGAATCAGAAAAGGAATTATCTGAAAATAAATATCAGACGGTTTCATATTCTGAAATGAATGATATTATTTTGATGGTATTGAAATGTCGGCGAATCTGAAATACTAACACGTTTGCCGATACTTTGATCTTCTTAATATTGTCAGTTGCTGTACGATAAATCATACATTGTATATCTACTGATGTAATGTCTGAGTGTTTATTTTAATTATTTTAATGAATAAATTATTTAAAGTGACTATGATAAATATTAGACTAATCTCATCATATGACTAGAAATAGTATAAAAACAAATACGATTTAAAAAAGATAGTACTGATGAATATTAGTTGTTTGAAAATATAAGCTTGAATTTATGTTGTTTCTAGTTTGTTAACCAACAATGATTGAAATAAATATATATTAAACATGTGTTAGATTCGCGAAAAGCATGTAATTTTAAACAAATAAACATACATTTATGCATAGCTGTATTTTTAAGCTGATGTATATTAATCATTATATGATAGAATAAGAACAAAGAGTAGTGGAACTGTTCTTATCAACTAATAACCAATTAAACTATAAAATTTTTTCTAATGTTTATTTTAATCGTATAAGTTTTTCATTGACTACCAGTCATAGAAACTGTAGCTAACAATGTGAAACACAACGAAAGATGATTTTTTATAAATTACGACCAAGTCGATTCAATTAATATTTATTCCCTAGACTGTGAGGATAGAATCTAGAAACGGGAATTCATCTCACTGCACGTATCGTTTCTAGACCGCGACCGTCTAGGGCCAAGCGAATCAAGTTTCGATGAATGTTACTTGTGGTTTTGTTGCACAAAAATCAGATTATCGATTTTGATTATCCCTACGAGATTTTGAAATTTTAATCGATTTTAATCGGTCGAATTTTCCACTGGATTGTTACCTGTTAAATACAATAAAGTGCAATGAAGTACATTAAAGTATATAAGAAGTACGTTAAAATTAGGGGTGGTACTTTACTTTTACTTTATAAAATAAAGATAAATGAATCCTTTACTCTTAAAAAATAAAGATAAATGGATCCTTTATTTTTTAAAAATAAAGATAAATGATCATTTATTTTTAAAAAATAAAGTTAAATAAATAAAGGAATACTTTATTTTTAAAAAATAAATGTAAATGAATCGTTTATTTTTAAAAATAAATGGAAAATAAAGGAATAAATGATACTTTTTACGATGACAGATAATGTAATTGGAAGAGCACTAGGATCATGAAATAAATCTGCAGAGAGATTATTACGATTTAAAAATGTAAATTTGTTTTAAAACACGTTTCCTAAGATGAAATTCAAAAATAACAGAAATGAA